AATTTCTTTTCTTTTCTTTTCTTTTCTTTCTTTTCTTTTTTTTTTTTTTTTTTTTTTTTTTTTTTTTTTTGAGAAGAAGTCTCACTCTGTTGCCCAGGCTGGAGTACAATGGTGTGATCTTGGCTCACTGCAACCTCTGACACCCGGGTTCAAGCGATTCTGCTGCCTCAGCCTCCTGAATAGCTGGGACTACAGGCATGTGCCACATGCCCGGCTAATTTTTGTATTTTTAGTAGAGATGGGGTTTCACCATGTTGGCCAGGCTGGTATGGAACTCCTGACCTCAGGTGATCCACCCGCCTCAGCCTCCCACAGTGCTGGAATTACAGGCACGAGCCACCGTGCCTGGCCATCCACCTAGATTTCTAACAAACATCTAAAATCTAATATGTCCAAAATAATATTTTCCCTCAAAACAGTCTTTAAGTCTTGATAAAGGATAGGATCATCTTACTCAGCTGTTCAAGAAGAAAACTCAGGCATCTTCCTTGCTTCCTCTTTTTCCCATATCCAAGTCAGCAAATTCTACTAAATTCTTTCTGGACTACGTATCTCTGAATTAACTACTCTTCTCCATTATTTTATTTTATTATTATTATTTTTTTTTTTTTTTTGGGACAGAGTCTCACTCTGTTGCCCACACTGGAGTACAGTGGCTCAATCTTGGCTCACTGTAAACTCCATTTTCTGGGTTCAAGCAATTCTACTTCCTCAGCCTCCTGAGTAACTGGGATTACAGGTGCCCACCACTGTGCCCAACTAATTTTTGTATTTTTAGTAGAGATGGGGTTTCACCATGTTGGCCAGGCTGGTTTCGAACTCCTGACCTCAGGCGATCCGCCCACCTTTGCCTCCCAAGTTGCTGGGATGACAGGCGTGAGCCACCATGCCTGGCCCTCTTCTCCATTTCTATTTCCACCGCTCTAGCCCAAGCAATCTTGCTTAGATTTTTCCTGTGGCTTCCTAACTGGTTTCCCTGCTTCTATCTTAATCTCTCCTATTGTTCATTCTCTACTCAGCAGCCAGATTCTCTTTTAAAAATCATATAAGAGATGACATTTCCTTGTGTAAAACCCTTCAACAGTGTCCCAATGCTCTTGGAAATATAAACACCTTCTTGTGGCCTATAAGTACCTATATGATCAAGTCTTCCTCTCTGATCTTGCCTTGAATATTCTCCCCTCTTACAGGCTCATGCCTGTAATCCTAGCACCTTGGGAGACTGAGGCAGGCAGATCATGAGGTCAGGAGTTTGAGAGCAGCCTGGCCAACATAGCGAAACCCTGTCTTTACTAGAAATACAAAAAATTAGCCGGGCATGGTGGTACGCATCTGTAATCCCAACTACTTGGGAGGCTGAGGCAGGAAAATTACTTGAACTCAGGAGGTGGAGGTTGCAGTGAGCTGAGATTGTGCCATTGCACTCCAGCCTGGGCAACAAGAGCAAGACTCCACCAAAAAAAAAAAAAAAAGCCGGGCACGGTGGCTCACGCCTGTAATCCCAGCACTTTGGGAGGCTGAGGTGGGTGAATCACAAGGTCAAGAGATCGAGACCATCCTGGTCAACATGGTGAAACCCTGTCTCTACTAAAAATACGAAAAATTATCTGGGCATGGTGGCGCACGCCTGTAATCCCAGCTACTCGGGAGGCTGAGGCAGGAGAATTGCCTGAACCCAGGAGGCGGAGGTTGCGGTGAGCCAAGATCATGCCATTGCACTCCAGCCTGTGTAACAAGAGCAAAACTCCATCTCAAAAAAAAAAAAAAACCTTAATGTGTATTAGTTCATTTAGCAAACATTTCTTATGCACCTAATTTGTGCCAAGTACCTAGGTAAACATTGGGTGACATAAAGATGATATCTGTCTTTGAGAAACTTCAGTGAGAAAAAGAGAAATAAGAAATAATAGAAATAAGTTCAGTGAGAGAAGGAGAAATGAGAAAAATTAATTTAAAATAAAACACTTGGATGGGCATGGTGGCTCGCTTCTGTAATCCCAGCACTTTGGGAGGCTGAGGTGGGTGGATCACCTGAGGTCAGGCGTTCGAGACCAGCCTGGGCAATATGGCGAAACCCTATCTCTACTAAAAGTACAAAAAATTAGCCAGGTGTGGTGGTGCGCCGATAATCCCAGCTACTCAGGAGGCTGAGGCAGGAGAATTGCTTGAACCCAGGAGGTGGAGATTGTAGTGAGCTGAGGTTGTAGTGAGCCGAGATCACACCATTGCACTCAGCCTGGGAAACAAGAGTGAAACCCTGTCTCAAAAATTAATAAATTAATCAAATAAAACACTTTTTCAGAGTTAAATATTTTGCAGAGTTAAGAGCAATGTGGGGTAGGAGAACAAAGGACAGAGCAAGACTCTGCCTACAGGAATCAGGAAAGGCTTTTACCAAAGAAGGAACAATTATTGGCATGGACTTGAAAGATGGCTAGTCATGGTTAAGGGTCTAGGGCATAGGATCTAGGAATAGATGCAAACTTACAGGCCAGGCATGGTGGCTCACGCCTGTAATCCCAGCACTTTGGGAGGCGGAGGCGGGCAGATCACCTGAGGTCAGGAGTTCGAGACCAGCCTGGTCAACGTGGTGAAATCTCATCTCTACTAAAAATACAAAATTAGCCAGGTGTGGTGGCTTATGCCTGTAGTCACAACTTCTCAGGAGGCTGAGGCAGGAGAACCACTTGAACCTAGGAGGTAGACGTTGCAGTGAGCTGAGATCACCCCACTGCACTCCAGCCCGGGCAACAAGAGTGAGACTCCATCTACCCCCACCCAAAATAAAAGAAAGAAAACTAACACATCTATATGAGGTCCTCCAATCCCTTAGAAAGATTATCTTGAGGTGAGTAAAGAATTCAAAACAGGCAGCTTGATCAACTATTAGCACAGAGTACAGTAGAAAAATGGCCGTAAGTCATTGTAGAGATTGGAGATTGTAAAAACATAAATTGATATTTAGAGCAACATTTCATTCATTCATTCAACGACAACATTTTGAGTGTCCACTACTTGTTAAGGACTATTAAAAGAGAACAATAAACAAAACCAACCAATTCTGTCTTCATGGAGCTTACATTCTAGTGCAGGATTCAGACAACAAATATATAACATAATGTTAGAGAAAAGAGCTATGATGGGAAAAAAGCATGGTAAGGAGTAGAAAATGTTGGGGCTATTATTTGAAATATGACAGTCACTAAAGGACTGACTGGGAAGAAGGTTTCAAGCAAAATCCTGAATGATACAATCTAGGTATTGGATCAGTTATTCAGCTACACAAATGAGGAAAACACATTTTCAGACTTTGCTGACTTTACCAAACTGGCCCTTCACTAAAGTGATGATTAACTAACCCTTTCCATTTATTTATCTTGATTATTTGACCAGGTATAATTGGTCCCATGATCAGGCAGGTCAGGATTCAGACTACATATGATTTCCCTACTGATCATTAACTAAGCCCAGGTTTATTTATTAACCAAAAATCTGCTCTTTCTCTTGTTCCTATGACCTTGTTTACATTTCTCCTTGAGTCTCAGCTGGATTTTAGTCTCCTTATAATGTTAAATATAGTGTATGTCAAATATGATGGCTCAACCAAGCAGCTAAAGGCGGCAGGCACCAGACATAATTAAGCCTTAATTCCCCTTATTCTATGTCTAGTGTAAAGACTGCGAGGCAGGACACTGAAGAAAAATTAAATCTTCAACCAGAAAATGACTAAGGATCATCTTCAGGTTTAGTAAAGGGGCACTTTCAAAAGAATAAGAAGTAAGAGTACAGAAAGGGAACAGTGATACAATCTCAAGAAATATGCCAAGGTGGGAATTCTATGAGGCTATAAAATAATCTAAGAGAACCGGGGAGTAGAAAGAAGAAAACAAAAGTTTTTACAACTTGAGGACTCTCTCAAATGGTTGTCCTGCCTTCTCTCTGCCTTCTACATTCCTATTGCTCCTAACCAAGTCAATTGTATGCCAACCTATCATGTATCAAGAAAAGACAAATATTTCCTAAAATTCAGGCAACCAGTTATGAACACTAAATGAAGAGCTAAGTATTATTAAATAGGGTTATTGAAAAGTGAGAATGGGAAACAAGAAATACTCTCATGAACTTAGTGCTATAAGGTAATGGTTGAGAGTTAAACCATCAAACCCATTGTTTGCAGGGTCAGGCCTATATACTCAAAGCAATTTTTAGAAGATGCATCTATCTGCTGAGAAAGATGATAAAGCTCCCTAGATAACCAGGCATGGTGGCACATGCCTGTAATCTCAGTTACTCAGGAGGCTGAGGCAGGAGAATCGCTTGAACCTGGGAGGAGGAAGTTATGGTAAGCCAAGATGGCACCACTGCACTCCAGACTGGGCAACAAGAGCAAAACTCCATCTTAAAAAAAAAAAAAAAAAAAAAAAAAGCTCCCTAGAACAATCTTTAGTCTTAGAAATTAATTAATACAACTAGGAAATACAAGGCAAGATGTTAGCTACATAGTGGCTTTTACAGCCTATCACAGATTCTGTGTCAGTAAAAAGTTAACTGATTGAAATTTGTATCAAGGAAGAAAGCAGAGAGCAGTCATCTTCCCTCCACTGTGTACAAATACATTTTAAAGAACCCCCCCTTTTTTTTTTTTTTGAGATGGGGAGTTTTGCTCTTATTGCCCAGGCTGGAGTGCAATGGCGCGATCTTGGCTCACTGCAACCTCCGCCTCCTGGGAGGCCTGCCTCAGCCTCCCAAGTAGCTGGGATTACAGGCATGTGCCACCATGCCCGGCTAATTCTGTATTTTTAGTAGAGATGGGGTTTCACCATGTTTCAGACTAGTCTCGAACTCCTGACCTCAGATGTTCAGCCCACCCGAGCCTCCTAAAGTGCTGGAATTATGGGTGTGAGCCACCGTGCTCAGTGAAGAAAACCTTTGATAAAGGAATAAGATGCAATTACAATTTCCCTGGAGAATCAGATTTTCTTTGCTTTTGTTTCTCATACCTGAGAGATGTGACTAAAATACTGCAAAGCTGTCTCCACAGGACTTTTGAAAAACATCTTCTCCTGAGGCTTCAGCTAGGAAGAGAGAAACACAATGGAATAAAAATACTGACTAATATGACAAAGGATGTACCACCTTTTCTAATGTACCTGGTTTTATTACCACTGTGTTTAAGAGGGAAATCACTACTGTTCTCAATGTAGATTACATGTCCAATTCTCCTTATCTTGTGCTTCTGTAACAGTGGTCACAAATAATGCTTCTACCTGTTGTTTATACTTTTTTTTTTATACAGTCTAGCTCTGTTGCCCAGGCTGGAGTGCAGTGACCCAATCTCAACTCACTGCAATCTCTGCCTCCTGGGTTAAAGTTACTCTTTTGCTTCAACCTCCCAAGTAGCTGGGATTACAGGCACCTGCCACCATGCCCGACGAATTTTTGTGGGTTTTTTTTTTTTTTTTTTTTTGAGACGGAGTTTTGCTATTGTTACCCAGGCTGGAGTGCAATGGCGCGATCTCGGCTCACCGCAACCTCCGCCTCCTGGGTTCAGGCAATTCTCCTGCCTCAGCCTCCTGAGTAGCTGGGATTACAGGCACGCGCCACCATGCCCGGCTAATTTTTTGTATTTTTAGTAAGGCGGGGTTTCACTGTGTTGGCCAGGCTGGTCTCAACTCCTGACCTCGTGATCCGCCCATGTCGGCCTCCCAAAGTGCTGGAACTACAGGTGTGAGCCTCCGCAGCTGGCCTGTTCATACTCTTTTACAAACTGCTCTCTGCAAGTTTGTTTCTTTTCTTTTATTCTCTTTTCTTTCTCTGGCTCTCTCCTCTCTCTCCCTTTCCTTCCTTCCCTCTCTCTCTTTCTTCTCTCTCTCTTCTTTTTTTTCTTTCCTTCCTTCCTTCTCTTCTCCCTCTCTCTCTTCTTTTTCTTGCTTTCTTTCCTTCCTTCCTTCTTTCCTTCCTTTCTTCCTTCTTTCCATCTGTCTGTCTGTCTGTCTTACTCTGTAGCCCAAACTGGAGCAGCACAGTGGTGCTGTGACATGGTAAAAGTCCCATAAATACCTTAACTATACTCCGGCTCCTGTAAATAAAACAAGGGGGAATGTGACATGGTAAAAGCCCCATAAAACTGCATACCTCAACCATCCCTCGGCTTTCTGTTTAAACTGCTCTCTGTAACCCTAAGGTGACAGGCAAGCAGTCCAAACCCACGCCATCTTGGTCCCTGCGACTTGTAATAAGTAACTAAGGTCTGTAATTTCTACCCTACCCAGGCAATGTATAAACTAAGGCCTATCTTAACTTCTGTGAACCACTTAAGTAACAATCGGAATGTCTGAAGCCCCTCACCCTCACCCCCGCCCAGGAGGTGGTTTACAGAATGATCAAAGTCCACTGGCCCTCAGAATGTCCGAAGCCCCTCACCCCCACCACTGCCCAGGAGGTGTTTTATGGGCATAAAAGGTCTTGACACCCTCCTTTCGAGGTCACAGGTTGGAGAGATGTAAGTCCTCCGTGGCCGCCGGCAATAAAGACCCTGCAATTTAGCATACTTTTGTCTTGGTGTTAATTTTCTATGCTCGCTCTGGTACAACAGTGCAATCTGGACTCACTGCAACTTCTATCTCCTGGGCTCAAGTGATTTCCATGTCTCAGCCTCCCAAGTGGCTGGGATTACAGGCCTGGACCACCATGCCTGGCTAATTTTTTGTATTTTAATAGAGACGGGGTTTCACCATGTTGCCCAGGGTGGTCTCAAACTTCTGAGCTCCGGCAATCCACCTGCCTCAGCCTCCCAAAGTGCTGGGATTACAAGCATGAGCCACCGCACCTGGCCTTTTCTTTCTTTTTAAAAGAATTCATCATCTGTATTTTGTGTATACTTCCTACAGGCCAGAAATTGAATGAGGTGATTTGTGGCAGGGGAGAAAAACTTACATTATCAGAAAGAGCCAGATGCTTGCAGGCAGTTCCGCAAACAGCACATTTTTCTGGGAGGAAAAGGGAAAAAAAAAAAGTTGGGTTCTTCTGAGCATGAGGTAAGATTTAAAGACTCAAAGTACATGGCAACAATCTAGTATGCTAGCAAGAAAAGAAAAAAGGGTTCTTACTGAATTTAGAATATCATTGTGCTATAAAAGGACATCAACTTAAGCTCTGTTCTCTAAACAAGTGTTTCCAAACTAGTATGTTGAGCTACAAGAAGGGCTTTTACACTGTACCTCTACCCATCTCTCTATCTTTTACATTTTTATTTTACATTTATTTTGAGACAGGGTCTTTCTCTGTCACCCAGGCTGGAATGCAGTGGCACAATTGCTGCTCACTGCAACCTCAACCTCCTGGGCTCAAATGATCCTCCTGCTTCAGCCTCCCAACTTACTGGGACCACAGGCGCAAACCATCACTTAAGTTAATTTTTATTTTGTTATTACATTTAGAGATGGGGGTTTCCCTATGTTGCCCAAGCTGGTCTTGAACTCCTGGGCTCAAGTAACCTCCTACCTTGGCCCCCCTGAAGTGCTGCGTTTATAAGCATGAGCCACCATCCCAGCACCCCCCACCCCATCTTTTTGTAAATTCCCAATTTTCTTCTGTGAGACAGAAGGAACAATTCTAAACTCCCAGCAAAAGTACTGAAGTACATTTTCAAGAGTAGGGAAGAGTACGGGATACCAATGACCTTAACTTCCTTACTCTTTTTTATTCCATTGACCTGACAGCAGGCACACATTGAGTACTCTAAGAAACTCCCAGTTATCCCTGCCTTGTCATCACTTTGCTAATATTTGTTAATCTCGCTTTGAAGCTCTGCTACTCTCATTCCCCAATTAACTCAATCTGAAAGAAGCAAAAATTGAGATTCCTAATCTTTCACAGTAAAGTGGAATTTTAGTAGTGGGACTGGTTATTGATTAAGACAAATGCCATGTCAGGAGAAAACATCACATGGCATATGCTTCACAGAGACAAACCACTCCAAGGTGAGCTGCTGTTACCATTGTAAACAGCTTTTTACATTAGCAGACAACTTTAAAAGATCCTGAGATTTGCACAGAGAAAAAAAGCTTCCCCAGAGGCTACTTAACTTGACTATTCTTTATCTGGGGACTAAAGGTTTTTCATTGTTACCAGAGTGAGCAAGCAAGCGCATGTCATTCTTCTCTTGAAAAAAAAAAAAAAATGGCTCACACCTGTAATCCCAGCACTTTGGGAGACTGAGGCAGGTGGACCACTTGAGGCCAGAAGTTCAAGATTAGCCTGGCCAACGTGGTGAAACCCTGTCTTTACCAAAAATACAAAAGTTAGCCAGGCATGGGGATGAACCCCTATCATCCCAGCTACTCAAGTGGCTGAGACCCGAGAATTGCTTGAACCTGAGAAGCAGAGGTTGCAGTGAGTCAAGATTGTGCCACTGTATTCCAGCCTGTGCAATAAAGTGAGACTGTCTCAAAAACAAAACAAAGCAAAAACTTCCACAGGTCTCCATCACCTGCAGGATGAATTTCAGGCTCTTTAGCCCAGTGTATAGAGCTTTCCATCATCTGGACACTGCCTACTTCACTAGCCTCATCTCACCACATCACATGTGTTTATACTGTACCAATCCCAACTATGTGTAGTTCCCTGCCATATGGTTTAATGATGTAATATGTCTTTGAACATGCTGTTCTCTTAAACTAGAATAAATCTTCCCTGCTTTATCCACTTGGCAAACTCCAGTTTATCATTCAAAATCCTATTTAAGCAACTCTCTTTCTGTGAAGTGATCACTCTTCCATGATCAAAACACCCTACCCCAAGTCCCTCTTCTGGGGATTTACACACCTTGTAAGTATTACAGCATTAAAACAAACAAACAAACAGAAAAACTTAAATTTAAGTCTCCTTTCTAAGACTTAATAGCAATGAGAACTTGCTCAAATCAGTTATCCTCTCTGAGCCAGTCTCCTCATTTGCAAAATGGTTCTACTAATAATTACCACCTGGACTTGTGGTGAGGATTACATAAAATGGTACATATGAAACTGCTTTTTAAGCTGCAAAGGTATCATCATTTCAAATCAAATTGATGTCACAGACTAGACCACTTCCCCTTTAGAAATGGCTCTTCTAGGCTAGGCACAGTGGCTCACTCCTGTAACCCCAGCACTTTGGGAGACTGAGGTGGGCGGATCATGGGGTCAGTAGTTCGAGACCAGCCTGGCCAACATGGTGAAACTCTGTCTCTACTAAAAATACAAAAATTAGCCAAGCACGGTGGGGCACACCTGTAACCCCACTATTCAGGAGGCTGAGCCAGGAGAATCGCTTGAACCCAGGAGGCAGATGTTGTAGTGAGCCGAGATTTCACCACTGCACTCCAGCCTGGCGACAGAGCAAGACTCCATCTCTAAAAGAAAAAAAGAAAAGAAAAGAAAAGAAATGGCTCTTCCATCAGCCAAACTTTCCTCTATTCTTATCCATTATACTAATTCTCTTTTCCCTGAAGAGTCTGATGCCTTGTGGCTCTCCCTGCCAGACGTCAAAACACTAATGAGTACATTTTGGTCCTCAAATAACAGATTTGCTAAATCATTTGCTAAATTATTTAGCACCATTCTTTATTAATGGATTCCTTCAATTTCTAAAATTGACAGTTTCCTTTAGTATCTGTATCACCATTGACCCAATAAGTGATTTTTATTCTAAGTCATACATAGAAATGGCTAATCCTTACATGAAAAGATTTTTCCTTGAATCTGAAAACAGTTGAGTCACTCACCCAGAGTCACACACTTTTTACAGAAAATATGGCCGCAGCTGGTGATAAAGAAATGGGCTCCATCTTTTCGGAAGCACTGGTTGCAGTGAAACCAATCCATTCTGGAGCAGATAAAGAGAAAGAGTAAGAATAACCTAGGGTATAACGTAAGTATAGCTAGCTGTTCCAAAATCTATGTAGCCATGCTTGCTTAGCTTCTGATAGCTTTTTGGGATGTGGACATATCATTGTGGGTATTCCAATTGGTTGTAAGGAAATACATGTACCTATAAAGCGAAAAAAAGCCAACTGCTTTTTTATAACAGCAGACTGTTATAACATTTTATATATAAATGTGTGTGGATATGTATATATACATATACATATATATATACATATACATATACATATATATACATATACATATATATACATATACATATACACATATTCAGAAAAGTAATAGGACAGACAGTGGTGAGATTTTTTTTTTTTTTGAGTAGTAAGATTATGAGTATTTGTGTGTATGTGTGTTTTGCCTTTTTTTTTTTTCCAGGTTTCCTGAATTAATAGATGTGCCCATTTTTATTTAGAAAATACAATCCTGGATAGTCACGGTGGCTTACGCCTGTAATCCCAGCACTTTGGGAGACTGAGGTGGGCAGATCACCTGAAGTCAAGAGTTCAAGACCATCCTGGCCAACATGGTGAAACCCCGTCTCTATTAAAAATACAAAACTTAGCTGAGTGTAGGGACACACTCCTGTAATCCCAGCTACTTGGAAGGCTGAGGCAGGAGAATAGCTTAAACCCAGGAGGTGGAGGTTGCACTGAGCCAAGATCGCACCACTGCACTACAGCCTGAGTGACAGAGCGAGACTCCGTCTCAAAAAAAAAATAATTATATATATATATATATATATATATACACACACACACACACACACACATACACACACACACACACACACACACATGACCCATCCATTTCTATTTTAACAATTACCTGTGATATAGTGAAAGTGGAGCCAAGAAGAGGTAGTGAACCAGATAGAGAATATCACATATTAGCCACTTAGGACACATTTTATCTAAGGGAAACAGGGCTGATGAATGATAGTATGGTCTTAGCTTGTATACTTTCCTTCTACTCTACAGAAACTCAGAATCGTAGACCTGAAAGGAGCCTTGAAAAATCTCTTAATGTTTTCTTCAGTCCCACCATTTTTCAAAAGAGGTATTTGATATTCAGTAAAATTAAATGACTTGTCCAAAACTCCATCTTTAATTAGTGGTCTCCTGATTCCCCATGTAAAGTTCTTGCTCCCACATTAAATAGCTTTTGTGTTAGACATGGTAACCATATATTCTGTATTTTCCACCAATACCAGTTTAATATACTTTATTAAATACCTGAGTAAATGTGACTTTGTAAGATACTTTTCTTGTGGGATTATTATTAATATTATTATTAGGAGGCAGTGTCTGGCTCTGTCTCCAGGCTGGAGCACAGTGGCAGATCAGGGCTCGCTGCAGCCTGGAACTCCTGGACTCAAGCGATCCTGCCACCTCAGCCTCTGGAGTAGCTGGGACTACAGGTATCCACCACCATGCCTGGCTTTTTTTTTTTTTTTTTTTTGGAGCGACAGGGCCTCTGTGTGTTATCCAGGCTGGTCTGGAACTCATGGGCTCAAGTGATCCTCCCACCTCGGCCTCCCAAAGTGCTGAGATTACAGGTGGCAGCCACTGCACCTGGCCTTTTCATAGGGTGTGTGTGTGCGTGCATGCGTGCGTGTGTAACAGCGGAGGGATACAAACTTCGTAAGATTTTTAAATGGGGAAATTGACATATCAAAAACACAGAGCCTGCCAGGTACAGTAGCTCACGCCTGTAATCCCAGCACTTCGGGAGGCCGAGGCAAGCGGATCACCTGAGGTCGGGAGTTTGAGACCAGCCGGACCAACACAGAGAAACCCCGTCTCTACTAAAAATGCAAAATTAGCCGGGCGTGGTGGCATGTGCCAGTAATACCAGCTACTCGGGAGGCTGAGGCAGGAGAATCGCTTGAACCCAGGAGGTGGAGGTAGTGGAGAGCCGAGATCGCGCCATTGCACTCCAGTCTGGGCAGCAAGAGGGCAACTCCATCACAAAAAATAATAATAATAATAATAATAATACAGAGCTGAGCTATTAAGTAGTTCATACATGTAAAGAAATGATATGTTTACTTTAATAAATATGCTATTTAAGAGTATAATCTTCATTAGTTTGGCTTACCTTAAAATAAAATTGGGAAAATAATCAAAACGGAAGGTAATTTTTTTTCTCCACTAGTCTTTTCCTTCAAATTTTTTTTCTAGTCGTTTGTGGAGATGTCTGTTAAATGAATGAAGGCTAGTTTGCACCACACTGTAACGTATTTTGCCACATAAGGCAAGATTTACGATAAAAAAATTTACTGAATAAACAGCTCAACGCAAACGCATCCCACAATGCCACGAACTTCAGAGTCCTATTTGTTTGCTCACGATACACTAACTTTCGCCAGCAGGTGAGTTGGGTTCTATATGCTCTGGTTTGTTTAAGGGCAGCAACTATGTCATCCCCTGAGTTGACTGGATGAACCCAACATAAAAAAGGCAGTTAAGAGGGTGACTAAGGCGACCCCGAGGGCAAAACTCGCCTGCTTCTTAGAGGCGATGGGGACTCAGCTGTCTCAAATTTCCCAGTTCTTTTTCTGGCTACACTCCCTACCCGCTTGGCCGCTGTGATTCCAGAAGGCCTCAGATCTCAGGAAATCATCCAGTTCTCCTCACGAAGAGCTGGAAATGGCGGGAAAACAAACAGCTGGCCCGGCACCTGGGTGAGGCAAGAGGCTGGGCGCAGCGGAGGCGGTGTGTGAGATGTGGGCGGGGCCTGGCGGTGCGCTGAGAGTGGGCGTGGCTCCGTGGCGTGGGCGGGGCCCGCAGTGGCGTTCTTTGGGCAAGGAGCGGCTCGCGGTGGCGGGAAAGGGGTGTAGGAGCCTTTTCCTAGCAGCCCAGGAAAATTCACCTCACTTAGAAGATTGAGGACAAATAAACACTGTAAACTAATCCCATACATGTTACTATGGAAACAAAAAGGTGAAAATAAAACCTAATTAACGTTCCAATAACCGATGAGAACACGTTATAAAATGTGGTCATAAGGCCAGGCATGGTGGCTCTCGCCTGTAATCCCAACACTTTGGGAGGCTGAGGCGGGTGGATCACCTGAGGTCAGGAGTTTGAGACCAGCCTGGCCAACACAGTGAAACCCCGTCTCTGATAAAAATACAAAAATTAGCCGGCGTTGTGGTAGACGCCTGTAGTCCCAGTTACTCGAGAGACTGAGGCAGGAGAGTCGCTTGAACCCAGAAGGGGGAGGTTGCAGTGAGCCAAGATCCGGCCAGTGCACTCCAGCCTGGGTAACAGAGCGAGACTTAGTCTTAAAAAAAAAAAATAGCCGGGTGTGGTGGCGGGTGCCTGTAGTCCCAGCTACTGGGGAGGCTGAAGCATGGAGGCTGCCATGAGCCGTGTTCATGCTGCACTCCAGCCTGGTTGAGGGAGCAAGACACTGCCTCAAACTAACAAAAAAGAGAGAAAGAGAGAGGGAAAATAAGATCGGCACCAGATTTCTCCACGGAAGCATTCTATGCTAGATAACAATGAAACAAGATTTTCCAGATTTTCACAGAAAGAAACTATGATCCAAGAAATTTATATCCCCTTATATTGTGTTCAGACATAAAGGCCACTAGCAAAAAGCCCAAATGAGCCTTTCCTGAGGAATCCACTTAGAGTAGTAGTTCTCAGACTTTTTGGTCTCAGGCTTTCTTTACATTTTAAAAATTACTGAAGACCCTCCAAAGTGCTTTTGTTTATGTCAATTGTATCTACCAATATTTACCAAATTAGTAATTAAAAGTGAGACTTTTTTGAACATTTATTTATTAATTCATTTGAAAACAATAATGAACCCATTAAATGTTAATATAAATAACCTATGGAAAATATATTTTCCAAAACAAGAACAATAGTGAGAATAGTGTCATTGTTTTAACATTTTTGTAATCTCTTACTATGTAGCTTAATAGCAAGCTGGTGGAGTCCCATATTTGCTTCAGCATTAACTTGCAGTACGCTGTTTTGGTTGGAGTGTGAGAAGATTTGGACTCACTCAAATGTGTAGGGGAAGAAATGGTATTTAAATGGCCTTTTCGGATAGTTGTGAACATTTCTCTTTGATGCTACATTAAAATTCCGGAAATCTGAGTTGTTAAAAGTTAATTGCAAAGTGGGATCTGAAACCCTATCAATGAACTTTTTATAGCCTGTTACATTAAAATTCTTTGGTCTGTCTTGCATTTTAAACGTATCTTTTGCCCATGCAGGATTTTGTAACATCATACATTTAGACCAAACTGGTCATTTGAAAAATGTTGGTTCACTGAGTTATATACATTGGCGCATTTTGTTATAGAATATTAAAAATCTGGGACTCCTGACCTCAAGTGACCCACCTGCCTTGGCTTCCCAAAATGCTGGGATTACAGGCTTGAACCACCATGCCCAGGCTTAGTTTTCTTTATATCTTTTATTTCTTTGCTGGGATTTTTTTACTTTAAAAAATTTCTATAAATGTTTTTGTAATTGTTTATTGAAGCTTTTTAAAAAAAGATATGGAGTCTCACTATGTTGCCCATAGATTGCATTATAGCATAATACAGCCTTGAACTCCTGGGCTCAAGTCATCTTCCTGCCCTAGCCTCACAAGTAGCTAGGACTATAGGTACACCCAATTCACTGAAGCATTTTTATGGCAGCTCCCTTAAAATTCTTGTTAGATAATGCCAACATCGGTGTAACATTGAAGTGTTAGTGCCTGTTGATTGTTGGGGTTTTTTTCATTTAAATTGAGATTTTCCTGGTTGTTGTATGATGAGTGCTTTTTTATTAAACACTGGACATTTTGAGTATTATTTTGTAAGACTGAATCATTTTCTCTCTATCTCTCTTCCTCACTCTCTACCTCCCTTCCTCACTCCTTCTCTCTCTTTCTTTTTTCGTCTGGCATGAAGTCATCCTGTTTAGATGTAGCACACAGTTTCTAAAAATGGTGAATGTTTAGCTCCCCATGGGGTCTCACTGACACCTTTCCAGGGAAAGCTGAGCGCTGACTCCCACCACCTTCTTGCTACTGAGTTGTGGTAGAAGGTAAGCTCTCTGTGGTGCTTTGCTGATACCTAGAGGGACAGGAGAATGTGAATTGTCTCAATACTTCTTCTTTCCACCTCATGGCTCCTGGTGGAATTTTTTATTGGAAATGCATTGAATCTATAGATCAAATTGGGAATAATTGACTTCGTAACAATATTGAGTCTTCCATCTCATAAACAAAATATATCTCTTCATTTATTTAGGTCTTTTTTAATTTATCTCAGTAATGCTTTATAATTTTTAGTGTATAGGTATTTCACATATTTTGTCAGATTTATTCCCAAGAATTTCATATTTGCTGATACTATCATAGATGATATTGTCTGAAATTTCCTGCTAGACTGGAAAAACAGAAATTATTTCAAAAAATTGTAAAAAGAAATAAGTAAATAATTTTAGAAAAATAAATAAAAACTAAAAAATGGTATTGTCTTTTAGAATTTAAATTTCTGGCTGGGCATAGTGGCTCACATCTGTAATTCCAGCACTTTGAGAGGCTGAGGTGGGAGAATCACTTGATGCCAGGAGTTTGAGACCAGCCTGGGCAACACAGCAAAACTCCATCTCTATTAAATTAAAAAATAAAATTTAAATTTTTGATTGCTTATTGTTAGAAATACACTTGATTTTTGTTATTGATCTTGTATCCTACAAACTTGTCAAACTCCATTATTAGTTATAGAGCTTTTTTGCAGATTCCATTTTATTTTCTATACAGCTAATCATACCATCTGTGAGTAAAAACACTTCTAAGTTTTACCTTTTTAGCAGTAGAACTCAAAAAAAAAAAACACTTTTACTTATTTCTTTCCAATTTGTATACCTTTTTTTTTTTTTTTTTTTTTTTTTTGCCTAATTGCAATGGCCATCCATCAGCATAATGGTGAAGAGAAGTGGTGAAGGCAGACATCCTTCTTGTAGTCTTGATCATAGGGAAAAAGCATTCAGTATTTCACCATTATGTATAATGCTGGCTACAGTTTTCTTCTAAGTGCATTTTCAAGGATGTTCCCTTCTATTTCTAATTTGCTGAGATTTTTTTAAAAGTCAGGATTGAATATTGGATTGTGTTAAATGCTTTTACTGTATCTGTTAATATAATTTTGGGGGGATGCTGGATACGGTGGCTCATGCCTGTAATCCCAACACTTTGGGAGGCTGAAGCAGTCAGGAGTTCAAGACCAGCCTGGCCAACATGGCAAAACCCATCTCTACTAAAAGTATACAAAAAAAATTAGCCAGACATGGTGGCACATGCCTGTAGTCCTAGCTACTTGGAAGGCTGAGGCAGGAGAAATGCTTGAACGCTGGAGGCAGAGGTTGCAGTGAGCCAAGATTATATCACTGCATTCCAGCCTGGGAGGCAGAGGGAGACTCTGTCTCAAATAAAATAATAATAATAATTTTTAAGTGTGTCACTATGGTGAATCACATTGATCGTTTTTGTTTTGTTTTGTTTTGTTTTGTTTTGTTTTGTTTTGTTTTGTTTTGTTTTGTTTGAGATGGAGTTTTGCTCTAGTCACCCAGGCTGGAGTTCCATGGCGTGATCTTGGCTCACTGCAACCTCCGCCTCCAGGGTTCAAGTGACTCTTCTGCCTCAGCCTCCTGAGTAGCTGGGGTTACAGGCCCCTGCCACCATGCCTGGCAAATTTTTTGTATTTTTAGTAGAGACAGGGTTTCACCATGTTGGCCAGGCTGGTCTTGAATCGCTGACCTCAGGATCTACCCACCTAGGCCTCCCGAAGTGCTAGGATTACAGGCACGCGCCACCACGCCTGACCACATTGATTGTTTTTGAATGTTAAACCAATTATGTCTTCGTGAGATAAATTTGTTCGTGATACATTATCCTTTTTATACATTGTTGGATTTCTATTTGCTGCATTTATGTTCATGAGAGGAATTGGTCGTTAGTTTTCTTGTACCATCTTTGCATGATTTTGGTATATGAATAATGCTGACCTCTAAGAATCATTGGGGAACTATTCATTCATTTCTCTTCAATTTGGGGGGAGTACTTGTGTAGAATTGGCATTATTTCTTTCTGAAATGTTTGGTAAAACCACTGAAGTCATCTGAGCCTAGAGTTTTCTTTATGGGAAGATTTTTACCTACAAATTCAATTACTTTAATAGATATAGAGATATTTGTGTTGTCTATTCATTTTGCCTGTGTTTTAGTAGTTTATGTCTTTTAAGGAGTTTGGCCATTTTTATCTAAGTTGTTCCATTTGTTGCTTTAAAACTGTTTTTACCATTCTCTTACTCATTATCTTTTTATAAAATAAGTTTTTTATTTTGCAATAATTTTAGACTTACAGAAAATTTGCAAAGATAGTATAGAGAGTTCCTGGATATCCTTCACCCAGTTTCAGTTTTCCCTAATATTATCATCCTACATTTCTATGTGATATTTATCAAAATTGAGAAACCAATATTGTCACATTACGATTAACTAAACTCCAGACTTTATTCAAATCTCAGATTTTCCCACTAATATCCTTTTTCTGTTCTACAATCCAATCCTGTATACCGCATCGCATTTCTTTGTTATATCTTATTAGCATTCTCTGGTCAGTGACAGTTTCTCAATCTTTCATTGCGTTTCATGACCTTGACAGTTTTAAGGAAAATAGGTCAGGTATTTTCTAGAATGTCCCTCAGTTTGGGCTTGTCTGATGCTGGTATCATGATTCAACTTAGTCATGGGGTGTTTGTTTGTTTGTTTGTGTTTTGAGAAAGTCTCACTCTGTCACCCAGGCTGGAGTGCAGTGGTGTCATCTTGGATCCTGCAACCTCTGCCTTCCGGGTTCAAGGGATTTTCCTGCCTCAGCCTCCCCAGTAGCTGGGATTACAGGCACACACCACCATGCCTGGCTAATTTTTGTATTAACAGAGACAGGGTTTCATCACGTTGGCCAGGCTGGTCTCAGACTCCTGGCTTCAATTAATTCGCCCACCTCAGCCTCCCAAAGTGCTGGGATTACAGGCTTGAGTACTGTGCCAGGCCAGTCATGGATATTTTTAAAAGAATACCACAGAGGCAAAGTGCCCTCTCATCATGTCGTATCGGGGGCACATGATATCCGTATATCAAACTGGTGATATTAATTTTGAGCACTTGTGTAAGAGAGTGGTTGCCAAGTTTCTCCACTGTAAAATTACTATTTTTCCCTTTCTATAATTTATTCTTTGGAAGAAAGTTCCTAAATCCAGCCTACCCTTAAAAGTGTTTAAGCACTACCTCCTGCAAGAAAAAGTATCTACATATATTATTTAAAATTTGGAAGTCGAAGTCTTCTGTAAAGATTTGTTTCTAGTCCACCATTTAGTTATTCAGTCAATGATTTGTTTATATCAATATGGATACAGGTATATTTTACACATTGGATTATATCTATTATTAGATATTTTTACATGTTTTATACATTGGATTATAATCTAATATTGTCAGAGGTGTGTGAACCAGAGCAACTCCATCTTAAATGGGAGGTGGGTAAAATGAGACTAAAACCTACTGGGTTACATTCCCAGATAGTTAAGGCATTCTAAGTCACAGGACAAGATAAGAGGTCAGCACAAAATACAGGTCATAAAGACCTTGCTGATAAAACAGCTTGCAGTAAAGGAGCCAGCCAAAACCCACCAAAACCAAAACGGTGACACGAGTGACCTCTGGTCATCCTCACTGCTAACACTCCCACCCAGTGCAATGATATTTTACAAATGCCATGGCAACATTAGGAAGTTACCTTATATGGTCTAAAAAGGGGAGGCATGAATAATCTACCCCTCATTTAGCATATTATCAATAAATGAGCAATCAGCAGCTCTGTCTATGGAGTAGCCATTCTTTTATTCCTTTACTTTATTAATAAACGTGCTCTGTGGACTCACCCTGAATTCTTTCTTGCTTGAAATCCACAAATCCTCTCTTGGGGTCTGGGTCTGGACCCCTTTCCTGTAACAATACTATGCTACTTATTTTGTTGCTCAAATTATTCCAGCTTTGGCCATGGAAGAGTATTTTCAGGTTGACTCCTCTGTCATTTGTGTGTGTGTGTGTGTGTGTGTGTGTATGTGTGTATGTGTGTGTCCCCATGCTCATGGATGGGTAGAATCAACATTGTGAAAATGACCATACTGCTAAAAGCAATCTACAAATTCAACACGATCCCTATCAAAATACCACGATCATTCTTCCCAGAATTAGAAAAAACAATTCTAAAATTTATATGGAACCAAAAAAGAGCCTGCATAGCTGAAGCAAGGCTAAGCAAAAAGAACAAATCTGGAGGTATCACACTAACAGATTTCAAACTATACGATAAGTCCATATTCACCAAAACAGCATGGTATCGGCATAAAAAATAGGCACATAGATCGATGAAACAGAATAG